TATATATAATTAATTTATAATCTTTACTAATTTGATTACTGTTTGACTAAATTCTATTCATAAGTATTTCAATTTATATCTATAAATAATTACCAAACTCTTGATACAATTCATGTTTAATAGTCTTTCTGTTGGGTTTTCTGTTCCCTAAAATGGCAGTCAATGGTTTAGTGGCGTCTAATTGTTGTCCATCTGCGGGCACATCCATTAGTGTAGTCCTGGGGTTAGGATTTGTAGCAATGGGTAAATTGTGTGATGTATTTGGGTTTCTGTAGGCGTTGGCGAAATTGAAGCGAACTGTTCTCTGGGGTGTTGTCGATGGACTGCTCGGACTATTCATATCGTAATAACTATCGGGCGATGAATGGACGGGTGAAATGGAGCTATTGTTCCAAACATTGTATTGTTTCCTATAATTCTTGTCGGAGTTGAGGTCAAGAGTTGTCGGTCGCAAACTTTTATTCAGCTGATAGTGAGTCCCGCTTTTGTTAAAGTCTTCGTCGCTTGATTTGAACGATGGGTTTATGTTTGAACTGTTGGACGAACTCCGGCGATGGTATCTGTAATGTCCGGCGTTTGACACATTGTCACGGGTTTCCGAGGGATCCACGTATCGGTTGGGCATCTCTTCGGCGACCATATCTCTGTTGGCGATATTGTAATCACTTTCGCAACTGGTTGTCGAGGATTTGCGTCGGGAATAGGTTTGGGGGCCTTTGAAGTCGACGTTAATACTCGGTCGCGACGAATACTTGGTGTGTCCGTGATATGTGGCGTTCTTGTTCTCGATGTTAGCGCCGCTATAGTAATCCAATTCATCGATTGAGTTGCCGTCGTAGGTGTCGTCCGACGCCTTCTGGAGGTTCTGTTTCTGAACCGAACGTATATCAGATCCGAGTGCTATGTTTGCGATCATTGCGCCTGAATTATGGGTTAATAAAACACAATATTTTGGTTAAAATTATAATTTATTTCAAAATCAGATCTCATAAAACGGACCAATTTTTCCGATCGCAGAGTCAATACTGGAAAAGAATTTTCTCTTATTTCGGTGTTCGACAGATGAAGAGCCAGAAGACGCCTCATTCGACTGCAAACCGCTATCGCATTCCTCGGCTGTCGTATAAATAATAATCATAAGATTATGCAATTCATGGGCGGCTGTCATAACATACGGGTGTCGTCGAGTACAGTGTTGTAGGCATAAAAAGTGCTCATATTCTGGTAAGGAATGCCCTTTCCTTTGTCAAAATTGGGTTCACTCTTCCAGACCTGATTCATACGTTTGCGTTCCCTTTGATGTCTAGTACTCGGGCCCCAAGTGTTTGGGGGCGGCGTTACAGCGTATGCCCGAAGTCGCGACACTGAACCGGTTGTGGGCGTTGGGGACAGACTTTCAGGACTAGATGTGACGGTAATATTGTGGCGAAAATTCTGCGGCAAACTTATCTCGTGAGTCGATCCGTGTTTCAACATATCCTTCAATAGTTTCTTTTTACGGAACTTTCCTTTTCTCTTCTTTGGCTGAGGTTTGGAGTCGTGTTGTTGTTGAAGAATAATGACATTCAATTCACGGCCCAACAGATCCATCTCTCGTTCAGCCAATTCCCGTTCGCGCTCTTTAAGCACCTGTTCTTTCACTTGTTGTTCAACCATAGCTTTAGTTAACTCTTCCTCTCGAGACCGCAACTCCTTTTCTTTAGTCTTCAGTTCTTCAAGAATTTGATTGATTTCTTCCTTCCAATCATTTCTCATTGTGTGAAAAGATTCGGCATTTGTTTCGGGAAACTGAGAGTTTGCGATATCTATCAGACTATTGAGAATACTTTCAAAGTCCGGCCGATTGTGAGGCGTCTCATCCCAACACGCTTTACAATTACAAACACAGATAAACATTAAAACCAATCGTTTTACCAATAAATCAATACAACACACCTTCGAGAAGGGCTTTGAATTCCGGCGGACACGAGGAGGGAATGGGAAGAATTAATTTATTCATAGCTACTCCATATGCAACTGCCAGAGCATCGATGCCTTTATATGGCATCTCTCCCGTCAAGATCTCCCAAACGACAACACCATAACTGAAATGATTCAATGCAAACAATTAACGCAATTCTGATAATATAGAAACGCATTGTTATAATACCTCCAGACGTCACTGGCCTTTGAGAAAGTCGATGATTTAATCACTTCGGGAGCCATCCAGGCATAAGTGCCCGCTTGAGACATACGCGTGGTTTTGCTTAGTTCTCGCGCTAATCCTAAATCTGTAATCTTCAGTGTCTTCCGAAACCAGTTGTCGTCATCGATCGGCTCATTCAGAAGAACTAAACAATAGGTAAACATTTGTTTGCTATTAAAACAAAATCATTTGTCAACAAATTAGTTATGCAAACCATTGCTAGACTTGAGATCTCTGTGAATAAGAGAAATGGGAGTCTTTTTGTGTAAGTAATTCATGCCATCAGCTATTTGTATGGCCCACTCGCAGATGACGGCCGGCGGGATGTGTTTGCCGGACAATACCCTATTCAAAGAGCCGCCCCTCAAGTATTCCATCACAAGACACAGATTCGGTTCTTTCAAACAGACGCCAATCAAGTGAACGATATTCGGGTGATCTAAAGCCCAGAACAGTCGCGCCTCTTGTCTAACACCGGCCAACACTTCAGATATATCTTCGTTGAGGTCCTGTCGCGCGGCTTTCACGGCCACCTCATCGCCCCTCCAAATCCCTTTATACACTTTACCAAACCCTCCGATTCCTATCACTTCTTCCAGTTTTAATTCATTGAAATCTATTTGACATATTTGTGGCAAAACCGGGACCTCATTCGGTGCACACCTCTCGGGAATCACGAAATTGGATGGAAATATGCCGACCCTTTGGCCAATCTTTCCCGTCCACCAGCCTTTAGATAACACATACAATATTAGATACAAATGCAATACAATAGACATATGAGACATACCCTCATCGCCAGAGATCCTGGTATCAGTTGAGAGCACTTCCACTCTGTCCCCCCTCTGAAGGGAGAGCTCGTCATCACCGGTGGCCTCGTAGTCAAAGATGGCCGTCCAGATGGACGTCATCTGCGGTGGACGACCACAACCACTCATTGCCTGTATTTACACAAAAGCCATCCAAACATCCATCAAATCATTGGAGACACAAAAAGAGGTCAACAAAAGACAAGTTTTAATTATAAAGCAATGAATGGTAAATACCTTTGACTGGATTTGAGCCAAAACTCAATCCCAAGTAATGGATGTCTCGGAGAAAATCATTGCATTCGTGGACACAATATGTCTGTCGAGGAATGAGTGGTCGGATTGAGTAGAAGAAGAAGAAGTGAATCTCACTTTCAATACACAAATTGAGACAATAATTGTGTGAATGTTTTCCTCGTATTTAGGATTCAATCCTTAAAAGGATTCAAACATTTGTTTCAATAATTTTGAGCACAAAAAGAGAGACAAACTTTGATATGGCTTTCGATCACAACTTCAGCTGTCATTCAATTCATACATACATTCAAAGCGATCATCAATTCATTAACCATTCATTCAATTGAATCCACAATTAATTTTCATTATAAATACACAGAAAACTAATAAATAATTGATAAACAAATTATAAAAAATAAATTACAATACGTTTAGTGTAAACGCCATTAACTATAATAACAGAAATTCATTTCTCTTATGCATTGAGAAAAATAGAGTCAATTAAAGCGAGTTTTATATCATTTTCAATACGATTTCAATGCAATAGAAATGCATTACTTTTTAGGCTATACTCTACTCAACAACAAAACAAAACTTGATTTTCGTGTTTAGAAAAAACTATACTTTGTTTTAGTTATAGTTATGCCATCTTTTGTCACATCTTTTTGTTATGCAAAACTTTTTTATCGCTAATAAAAATTATTATTGCAATCATTGAATGGTATGTTTTGGGATTTACATTACATTACAGCGAGTGATAAATATAATCCAGGTATTACTACTTCACTACACGTTTAAATAGTGTTTTTATTGAATATTTTCCCAAATTATTGCTATATTTTTTACTCCACTTTTCCTTAAGAAGTTCCTCTAATTATTGCAAAAAAACTATACAAAAACCTATAAGTTTTAAATAAAAAATTATTTTTATCCAATAATATAAAGTTTATTTAAGTTTAAATTTATTTGAAAAAACATTAAATAACAATTATTGTTATTGTACAATGTATATTTACAAATGCAATACAATTATTATATTGAAAACCATTCAGTCATTAGACATTATACTGTAAAGTGAATAGCATTTGAAGAATTTAACCATAAGTATTATTGAAATACAAGGCTAGACCTAAATTGTAAGTAATATAGGAATTTGAAACAATCCTCTCAACTGTTTGATAATACTTTAACATTAATACTACTCTCTATGAGTAGATCCCTTTAAATTCACTACATGTACACAATATTATCGTAAAAACACAAATATTCTCTAATATCAGAATAATATCATAAAAGATATCGTTTAATAACATATTACTGTAGTGTTTGGGGCTTTAATACAGTGTTTTTATAATATATTTTTTATTATATGCTTTAATAGTTGGCATCAGATCTAAAATCAGATAAAGTAAAGAAAATTTCACATTTTTATGTCTTACGGAGTATTTGCTATTTTTTCTATAAAAATATTTTTTATAAAATATTGATATTTTAGTGCCAAAAATATATTCTATTTGATACTATATCTGATATAAATTATATCATATAACTATATACATAATTTCAAGTTAAGTAGTCATTGCTTTTGATATTGTGTTTGACGGACACAGACTCTTATATTTACAAAATACATTAAAGATCTTAAGTATTTCTCAATGAACTTATCAAATGTGAGGCCAAACATAATGCTAAGGTTGAGGTTAACCTAATTTGTCGCTAATATTGAAAAAACAATACCGTAATATTACATACATAGCGCACACCCCGTGTATAACGCACAGTAAGAAATTTACAGTATTTTTAAATAAAAAATTAGCTATAGATAACGCGCGCCCTGTATACATGCACGTCCTCTACTATATATTACAAATTTATTAGTGTTGATTAATTAGTGCTAGAATAAACAAGTGTTTTTAAAATACAAATAGAAACAAAATATTATGATGTGTTATCTATGGGATAATACGGTACTATATTTCAGTTATACTGTAATAGGGATAAAGAAGATAGGAATTTGTAATACTCTCGCAATTTACTCGTTAATGATCTTCAGCTGAAATTTCAATGTTTCAAAATAAATGAAACCAATGTTTAGAAAAGATAATTAATAATTGAAGTCCACATCAAAGCAATGCATTGACACAAACATTAAGTAATGACTTGAGAAAAGAAAAACCACTTAAAACTTGTTAGAAATGACTGACAGTCTTATGAATAATGAATTCTATGTGAATGTAAAGACTAATTGATAGTAACATAACTCCTGTTTGTAAAACAAGAAATGTTTTTTCAAACGGAAATATCACAAAAACTGTTTTATTATTCATTATTAATATTGTGCAAAAATATTCATTACTATAGCATTGTATTTGTGATCCAACAGAATATGAATACTCTAAAACACATTGTGTTTTAAAAGGTATTTATAGTAAATAATAAAAACAAATAATTCTCGCATTCAATCAAAAGTATGAATTAATTAAAAATACGGATGTTTTGAATGCTTTAAAAATTAAAGGAAATAACAAGAGATTGAGAACATAATCAATCACTTTATGTTTTCTTTAGTGACAGTTATATATAGTGTATAATAGAGTACAATATTCTGTATATTCACTATACTGTCAATTAAGAGAGTATTTTGTGATAATCTGAGTGATGATCACTAAAACTGGTATTTATTTAAGGAATTCATTGCTTTTTTCTATTAACGTTTAACTGTTAACTATTAACTGTATTTACAAAAAACAAGATTTTTTTTATTACATAAATTTTTTTATTTAGTCAATGAATTAAATGATACTTTCAGTACATAATTATCGGGAAGTTTTTTTTTAATAACAACTGAAATGATTTATAATTATTTTCTAATGTCTCGCAACTCTCTAAAAAGTTTGTAATAAAACCAATTCATCCATTAGTCTGTATTTTAGGGATAATTATCGTTGAATTAATTATTGTGAAGAATCTTCAAACCAAATGATATCATCTAATAATATCTTAAAGCCATTAAATAATATCAATAAACCAATGGTTTCGTTATTAAAGCATATTAACAGTTGAATCCATGATTAGAAATATATTTCTTATAATGATATTAAACAAAGAGTGCATAAAATTAATTCATTTGAACTATTATTTAATTACAGGTGAGAGAGAGAGAGAGAGAGAGAGAGAGACTCATCCGAGTCGGGGGCGTCCCTCCAGTCGTCCAGAAATAGTAAATATTACTTCATAACAATGTCTCATAACTTATAAAGTGATCTCATTTCCATAATTATGGGTATTATTTAAAACCAGAGTTGCGTTTAGTTATATTTTTTGGGTAAAAATTACTGAAAATTACTTTTAAATTCATTTAATTTCGCAAAGGTTTGACGAAATAATACTATTTATGTAATTTAATTGAGATATTATTTACAATTTAAATTTATTTTATCCGTTTTTAATCTATTTAATAGTTTATTTAATGAAAACTAAATATATTTTTTAAAGTATTATATTATTTTTTTAACATGCAAATTATTTTCACACCATTTATTTATAATTATAATTTATTTATTTATAAATAAAATAACTATATTTATCATTTTAATAAACTCGACATTTATTACTACTTTTTTAATGAACAGATTTTTATCAATAGATTATTTACTTGTTTTTTGTTGATAAGTGATATAATCTCTACAGTAATGTAAAAATTAATTCTTTTAAAACAATATTGCAATAAATCATTAAATCGTTTATTTCCGATGAATTCATGATTGAAAATAACAAATAGTTATCCAAAGGAATCGAAATATTCTCTTATACTCTGAATACTTTGAGTGAATAAGTTATCAAATTTTATCATAGGATTCAAATTATTTGTTGTTTTTAAAGTATATATTTCTAAAAATTATAATACAATTAAAAATTAGTTACAAATAATTAAGAGATTTATTCTATTAAAAAATACGAATAAATTAAAGACAAAATCGTTTTTTCCAATTATTTCAGTAAAACGTCAATGATTTTGTAATATATTATTAAACGTTAAGAAAAATCTCAATATAATTAATGAAATGAATTTTTAATACAAATAAAAACATTAAAACATAATCTTTTTAAATACTATTTACAGGTTTTCGAGACAAATAATGTCCACAAATGTTAATGAAGTTAATGGTAAGAGTGGATGAGATGTTCAACAAAGTTGTATATAATGTATGGTATTTAGTGATGGCATCGAAATAACTGTTTGATTGGCATTAATAAGTATGATATGAAACAAATGAACGGAATATCGAAATCAAATTCATTGCAAAATAAGATAAATAAAATAAATGATAAAAATGCGATCAAAAATAAAAACACTAAAAATTAGACCTAAATTTCAAATAAAATTATCAAAAAAGTGCTCAAAATAACAATTTTTTAGTAATCATTTCCCCGTTAAATAATAACCCAATTTAGAGCCTATTTTTCACACAATTTAATATTTCCTGTTGTGTTGCCAATGGGACTGACCGTCCGGATCGGGTCTCTTATAGCGTTTATCGGGTCGTGAGTAAAGAGCGGCGACGTCTGCGTTGAGTGTGATTTCGTTGGCCTCTCGGAAGCCCTCATTAATGGTACCCCTATTGAGCCTCTGGTGGTTGTGGTGATCAAAATTGGGATCGACTCGGGCTAAGCCGGGCTTATATGAAGCCGAATGAATGCCATTGGACTGTAACTGAGACCACGCGGACGCGTACTTGTGATAGAAACCAGAATTATCTCCCGAACTGTCAAATGTGCTGATCGTTTGAGCGTCTAATGCATTGTGACTATTCTTCAATCTATTCAAACCAAATCAAACAAAACATTAACCCATATATTCAATAATATTCATCATTATTTGAAGCCATTTATAATTGCATGCATATTATAAACTGACCCTATTTGACACGAACCCAAACCTAACCGCCCAGTCCTCTCATAAAAGGGTAATAGAGAATAGATGTTAGTATAGGTTATGCCCCGGTATTGACCGGTAGAGTATAGTATACAAGGTACATATAAGGTACTGCCCGCTCACCTATTTTTCAGTGTTAATAATTAGGCAAATAAGTTGACTGAGCGGCGGGACTATCCCTCCAAAGAGCACTGACGGTAGCGCTTCTCTTCTTTGAAGTGACGCTAATTATATGTGAGCAACAGTTAGAGCACAGGTAGAGCACAGGTGGCCATGCATTGCATTTCAGTGTTAATACAGAGTCGAAAGTTAATGAGTTATAACTCGTCTATTGTTTCGATTAAAATTAATAATAGAAAGGCTGGAAGACATACCTCCGGACTATAATCACAACTATAGTGATAACGGCAGCCAAAAACACAAACCCTCCGAACACTGCCAACGCTATAATGCCTCCCATATTGAGTCGAGCGGTCGCCGCCTTCGTGTTGGGCCGCAACAGACTGTCATTTATTTCGTTGTCTTGAGTCTTATAGATTGTCGGACGAGTGGTTCGACTCTTCGGTGTCGGCCTTCGAGTTGTAGTAGTGGTGGTCGTCGTCGTTGTGGTCGGACTGTTACTACTCGTTGAATACACATTAGTTCGTCTGGTATTCAAATACGGCGATTGGGGCGCAGGAGTTGATGAGATGGGGATCAAAGACAGCTGCGGCCCTCTGGACGGCGGCTGCGATCGATCGACTACAGGCCAGGTCTGGGTTGTGCGCGACGGCTGCGCTGTTGTCGTTGTTTTCCGGGTTGTGGTTGTAGTGGATGTCGTCCCACGAGTTGTGGTTGAAGTAGAGCTCGTAGACGCCGGTCTCGCGTCTGTCATACAAAATAGTTAAATCTCACAAAAATTCTTCGCCAGAAGACAACATACCTCTACAATATCCGGGCTCTCCGTCCCAAAAACCGGCGACATTGCAGACAATACGGGATTCTCCCATCAGTTCATAGCCTTCATCGCAAGTATATTCAGCGACGGCTCCGAAGATTGTATTGTTGGCTGAAATTCTGACCACAGAATTGACAATAACGGGAGGGTTGGGGCAAATGACAGGTTCACATCTGGGCGGCGGTCCATTCCATCTCTCGTCGACATCGCATGTGAGAAGTCCGCGACCAACCAATACATAGCCCTCTTTGCACGAGTAGTTCACTGAACTTAGATATGAACGCGTATTGTTGGACATTATATACTGTCCATTAGTTATAGAGGCCGGGAAACCGCACTCCAGATCTGGTTTGCAAATAATCACATAAAATATATAAAAAATCATTTCAAATAAATATTTTTAATTTCTAAATACATTTGCATTTTGGAGAGAATTCGCTAAAAAATCCATTCGGAAGACACGTCCGAATGTTTGGTCCAATCAATAGGTTTCCATCAGAACAACGGTATTCAATAACAGACCCGATGTCCACATTTCTGGCTAAGATTGTCGAATTGGGCGGACGTTCGGGTTTACCACAAGATAGTGGTCTGTGTTGGCAAACAAAGTTCAGATTCAGATTACAATTAGTGTCGGACCAAAGCCAGCCCTTTGTGCCATCAAATCGGGAACAGTTGTCTTTATTTGCGGGTAAATTCCAAAATGAAATCGTCACGTCTTTGCCATTAATCCATTTCCAATTGGCCGGTGTCTTGGGATCCCTAAGCGCTCCCAACCAGTACTGGCCGTTGGGATCGTTGCGATGCCTTCTGTATAGTTCCCAACTGAGGAACCCTTGCAGAGCGGGTGAGGTCTCGTCCACAAGACTTCCGCCCCTGACTTCGCAGAAACGTCGGGCGCTGTCGAAGTTGAGCGGTTGGTTGTTGTAAAATATATAACACTTCCCGTTATAGGTTGAGGTACTGCCCAACGGCTGATCCCGGAATGACGGGCACTGCTCTATCGACAGCGCTGTTCAATAAATGTTGTTATTATTAATGACATTCAATCAAAATATAAGGCACTCAATGATTGATACCGTGATCGGTGTAGACGAAGGTCTCGCAAATCGATAATGGATTTCCCGCCGACTCCAGAGTTATGCTGACGAAAGCGCCCGGCATTGGACGAGCGCAGGGAAGAAAGAGTGGTCGACCCTCTTCTAGAAATCCAGTGAATTTATTACAAACCGGATTAACGCCCAGATCTGGCCTATTGTTGCCGACCCTCACTGTGATAACAGCGGGCCTATTGTTGGAGCAGCATGATGAACCGAAATCTATTCGCACCAACTGTGAACAGCACAGGGAGGGCACATCATATGTTCAAATGAAATATTTGCATATAATTATGAGTATAATTATGAAAATTATAAAGTTTTTCGTGTTTGATGTGTGAATAGTATGTTTGAAGTGCAATACCTGGACGAGAACGGGCTCCAGAAGATTTACATAAAACCAAGGGTTGCGCTCGGCCTCAGTCATCGTACAGGTGTTTGTGTTATAGAAACTGCTGGTGCCTATGATTTTGAACGCAATTTGTTTTTTGTTATTAATAAAAACATTTTAATCATTAAATTATTTGATGCCTTACTTCCATCGACCGCTTTCTGAGCCGATCCCTGACCGACAGTCGATGACTGCATCGCTGCCTTTCCAACCGCAACGTTCAGTACTAAAAACATTACAAATATAAGCCATAATATTAGCCAAAAAACTAAGTTTTTAAATTTAAATAAAAAGAAATTAATTTGAAACAAGAATTTTAAACACAAAAAGCGATTACGAAATAAGCAAATAGTGAACAATATTTTCAAATACATTAATACATTGCAAACGCATAGAAAGAAAAAAAGTGGAATTTTAAGTTTATTTTCAATTATTTCTATTGTAATTATGATAACTTATACGCGGGAGTTATGCACTCGTTATGACCCAAATTAAAACCGTTTTTATTATTAAAATATTTATATTTATATAATATGAAGAAAAAGAGTATTTGTAAATCAAATTTACTGTAAACGTGATTAAAGAATAATAAACTTTTTTATGCAATAAATTAAAAAGAGTTTAAGAATTAATGCCTTTTATTGTTCACAAGATTGTAAGGTATTTGAGAATTAGTTGCCTCTCGAGTGATGAATAATTATTGCATAAAAACCTCATTTTCAACGATAAGCCAAAAAATTACATAACATTCTCTCTGATCGTAAATCTGTGGCTAAATATTCAATAATATTGTCTTTTGTTTCGTAATCTTTTACAACAGATTCCTTCCTATAGACAAGTGAACGACAACTGAACAGAACATCGCTTTTATAATAACTTTAATATAATTTCGTTTGTAATGTTAAAAAAGTGATAAAAATTTAGTTTTAAAAGACAATTCTATTGTTTAAGGCATTCAATCAAAACTGCTGTTAACTATTGAGATAATAAATAGTAAATAAATGTCCAAAAGAACGAACAAAACAATTTAATTCTTATAATTTTCTACATTCCTGTCCATAAGATTAGACCAAAAGAAACATTTCTGTTATTTTAACAGTTATTGTAAATTTTGTTTTGAATGCTAAACTCATTTTTCTCCGGCCGACAAAGAACTCGCTTCACTCACTACTCATTATATACCGATTATTAGAAAAAATTATAGATTTTTCAATTTGCAGACTAAGAATAGAAATGAATGAATGAATGAATGAATGAGAGAGAGAGTCTCTCTCTCTCTCTCTCTCTCTCTCTCTGATATTTCACTTATACATATAACATCACACTCCAGTCCCTACTCTTTCGCAAAATTCATTATTTACTTTCGTAAAACTTTCGGTAGGCAAGTATCTTATTATAGATTGGATATATTATATGTTTGATGAGTGAATTGTAAGATCGGGTCGACTCGACTGTATTTGTAATATTTGATGCATAGACTGACACAGGTATCTATGGATAGGGATTGGAGTGAATGGTTAGTTCACTTCCTGGTTAAGAGAGAAGTGCCGATCACTGGCTTATGACAGTATTCTTCTAATTCATGACTCATGAAGTACTTCAAGAGCAAGGATTAGCTACAGAAGTGGTGGTAACGCATGGATTCATATTTGTGTGCATTTCATGTAATGCTATAATATATTGTCTGAGAAGACAATCAACAAAAACCACAACAAGCTGTGCAGCAGTGGTGGGGCTCTGGGGCTGACCAACAAACACAATAATATAAATTATTTAAACCAAATCTTCATGAGTGCATAAAAATAAATACATTAAAACACTTTTATGTCATATATTATGACATTTACAATATTTAAGACAAAAATAATGATTTGTAATCAAAAATTGTGTACAATTACAACACAAGACGTCTTGAACTCACGAGCGAAAGATGTGTTCAGTTTAACGACCCTAACCTCCACTAAATGTGAGCACAGGTATCACAGGTATGCTCTCTCTCTCTCTCTCTCTCTCTCTCTCTCTCTCTCTGCCTCCCTGTGACGGCTCCTTATTAGCGGTAAAACGGTTGGAGGCGATGGCAGACACCACTCGCTCCCCAAACGAAATCAATGTGTTTTGTGAAATAAAAAATAATTTTTTCAGTAAATATTGTACTCATAATAATTACACATTCATTCAAAACGCTTTATTATGCGAAACACAGCAACAGTTTTCGCATAAGAATTTGACTATTAATTCAATAAAATAAGAAGAAAAAAATATTATATAATTTTCAGAGTCATTGGAATTCAAATGAAAAGCAAATTTATTGCTTCTTTATTCAACTCTAGTTTCGAAACTCAATTATATATCGCCTCTAATATATGGATAGTATTTATTCAAAGCATCCGGTGGTACGACATTCCTCTCCAGGAATTCTTTGCCTTTTTCAAATCCATTAATTTACAACTTTTAAGCAAAATATGTATTAATTGCTAAAAGGACTCGGATTATGGAGACCTTAAGTCTTCCCTAAAACAACTCAAACAAAATATTTTCATTTCAATTCCGGAATTGGTTTTAATGTCAATGGAATTATTGAACGCTTTGAGAAATACATCTATATTTTCACCAAAAATAGAAAAATCCGTTTAAGAGATCATTAACTAAATTGTAAGAAAAGACTCTTTTCTTTGTTTCCTTTCAAATGATTACCTCATTATCTGAAGAGTCAATCGACGAGTCATTCATTTGATTTACAGTAGAGTTAACTTATGCTCTTAAAAAACATTTTACCACTTCTTGCAAATCAATTGCAATGCCTGACAGGTATTCACAAAAAACTTCATATCAATGAATATCTAATTGCATTCGAGTTCATCAATGCGTTCATAAAAATGATTACAAAATTATTGGAAAAACAATAATTTTTTGAAGTAATTTACGGAAATTTCAAACAAAAAACAAATGCTTTCATTTTTATGTGTTTCAAGTTTTAGATAAAAAATATTTAATATTTTATTTGATTATTATTTAATCTATTTTCTCACAAGTAAGACCCAAACTCCATGGCATTAACTAATTATTTTAATACAAAATAATTTATTTGAAAAGTTATTTAAAAAACAGTACACTTTTAATATTAACCTCTAAACAAATAAGATTAAACAAATCATGCAATTAATCATTAAAATAAAACTAATTGAAATTTTGACGGATTGAACCAAAAAAGGCATCATTTTGAGGATTCATATAAATTAAATTATTTTTCTTTAATCCTTAATACATATTAAATATCTAAATATATATTTCCTAAAGCAATGGAATCACAAATTTTATGGTAAATATCAGAGAAAAAGCGATAACATATTGGCCGCCGATTTGTGTTACAGTTAAGGATGTTTTTCTCAAACTGAATGCGAAATATCGATAAAATTAACCACATTTTGTTGTTGTCTAGCAATCGGAAAGTCTGAACAGTAATTAAAAGCTCCAGAAAATATAGTTCAAGATTTTGAGTTCAATTAATTAATTTGAACTCAGGTTTTGAGTAAATATATCTAAATTGGTTTCACTTCATTAAATGCCATTTTAAAGTGCTTTATAATCACTAATCCATAACAAACAACAAAACCAAGAACTCATATAAAAAACATTAATTCAATTAAATTAATAAAAAGGCTAATAAATGTAATTTCAAAATCAATTTTTCAAATGTAGAAACGATTAAATTATTTAAAATTTACGATACGTTCTCGTGTGTGAGGCATAAGGCATATACGCGCCGATGTTTAGCCCAGTTTTGCAAAACACTAATAATTACATATTTTGCTAAATAATTGTTTTAATTCCTAACCGTTGTTTGCATATCAAGTATATATTAAGGAGAGATTAATAATTCATTAATAAGGTTAATGTTAATATGATTTAAAACGCGAGGTTTTGTTTTATAAACACAGCACACATGCATACATACATATCAAGCCCTGTATTAGGAATTGCTCTGTGTTTGGAAATACTATGTAATTTAAGTGACGGTTATGTGAGTTAATCAGTTCGGGTAAAGCCCTGCCATCCCATCCACTAAACAAGTCAAGGTATGCGATGAATGCAATCGCAACATAATGCCAGCACAAGCCATGCATTACCATAAACTACACACAAACTAATCATTATATATCTGATGATATCAAACAGTTTAAGAAGCAAAACAGTGCAAAGTTTTGGGTCAATACCAGTGCGATCCTAATCGCCCTCTAATTCCTAACTTGTGATCAACACATCATTTCAAACAATGCTTTGAATATATCTCACAAATCATAAAATTAAACCTATTTTTATGCAATCTATTGTATTATTGGTAATATTTTTTCAATTATTTTTAGAAAAAAAAAGTTTACAAGTTTTAAAGTAAAAGCAAACTTCCGCACAGTTTTGTTATTATATTACCGTTAGTAAGAATGTAATATTAAGACACAATATTACAACACATTATGTTTTGCACAGGTATTTGGTTCTGAGCTTCTAGTCACAGGTCCACATGCGATGTGATTTTTGGATAACACCATTTTTTATTCCATATAACATACTTTTCAACGCGGTGAGTACATGGGAGTGGGTGTGAACTTGATGAGATGGATATGGATGTGACGATATGAACTTAGTCTCGATACGACATAGTAACGAGAACTCTCTTCGTAACAAAAAATAATTTGATGTTCGTAACAGTTTCCGTCCCTAATCACGATCCGAATTGTCACGAAGATGCTGATGACACGATAGTGTACACCCTAACCTGTTGTAGCCCCCACCTCCACCCCTCCGAAACTCTGATTGAAATGAATGAAAACGTATGACAAGTGCTAACCATTGAATTGTATGTTAAATACAGTATTATTTTCTAACCATATATTCAAATGAAATACTGTTTCGTTTTCATCAATCAATTCATTGTTAAAGACATTTAATTTATTTATTCATTCAATTGTTTCATTCATTTCATTACTAAACGAAACTAAAGCAACATTTAATTTCAACCCAAACCACAATTGACTTCTCATAACATTTGGTGATTTGATTTGAGACTTAATTTAGTGAAGAATCGATTGATTTGTTGTGCAAATTGTTGTCATAATTGAGGACTGAATCAATCAATTGATATATCGATGGCTTTCAATAAATTAGAGAAAGAGAAACAGAAATTGGTTTCAGAGAAATGTCAGTCCATTTTGGTTACACTTCTTCGCGATGAGGACAACAAGTATTGTGTCGATTGTGACGCCAAAGGTTACCACCATTTCTCATATGATTACTTCAATTAATGCATTTAACCTTAATTTCANGAAATGTCAGTCCATTTTGGTTACACTTCTTCGCGATGAGGACAACAAGTATTGTGTCGATTGTGACGCCAAAGGTTACCACCATTTCTCATATGATTACTTCAATTAATGCATTTAACCTTAATTTCACACATTTATTGTCGACGCAAACATTTGTGTCAATAATATTGCCATTTATTTCCCAATCAGTGCTTAGATTTGAGTCAATAATACAAACCATTTGTTTAAATGTTTTGAAAACATATTTAAATACATTGAAGACGTGTATAGCGTTTGCCTTCATTTAGGCGATCGTGTCTTCAGCTCTTTCACCACTCTTTAGATCGCATGATATCTCAATATATTTCACAATTTATTATTTATCTCGTTTTTAAGCAAATCATGCCTCAAGTGATTGAATATCTAATTTATGTTAATTGTTAGACATATTGTCTGAGATTACTCATGAAATTGAAGTGAATGTTTAAATTAAATGGATTTATATAAATATAATAACGAATTGTATTTGTGTGTAAAGGACCAAGGTGGGCCTCTTGGAATTTAGGCATCTTCTTATGCATCCGATGCGCGGGTATGGCATTGATTATAATTGATGTATTAGTTATACCGTTAACACTGTTGTGTTGTGAACATAGGTATCCACCGTAACCTCGGTGTCCACATATCACGGGTAAAGTCTGTCAATCTGGACGCCTGGACTCCCGAACAGATCGCTTGCATTCAAAACATGGGAAACTCAAAGGCCAGAGCCGTATACGAGGCCAACCTTCCCGACAACTTTCGGCGCCCGCAGACCGACTCATCTCTCGAAGCCTTCGTTAGAGCTAAATATGAACAGAAGAAATACATCGCTAAAGAATGGGTGGAACCGCCGCCCCCTAAACCAGCCGTAAAATATATTATGATTATAATTATTGTCACATTATTTGATAAAACTATTATTTTTTTCTTGAAGTTTGATATCGAAGAGGAATTACGCAAAGAAAAAGAGAAAAAACGCAACAAAAATAAGAGTTTTCAAAGCAGTGGAACTGTTGGTGACATTCAGGTCTGAACTATTTTGTTATAAAATACATATATTTGAAGGTTAATCCACAACTCAATCATTGGTTGCAATATTTAATTACTTGTTATTTAATATTTTGTTTATTTCATAAGTTTTCATAAAATGCGAGTTTAGTTGACAAGAATGTCACAGAATATCATATATTTTTGATGAATAATGAGTTTTGTATCGGTTTAGGCCAACCCTCTGCCCCGACCCTCAAACTCAAACTCAACTCTTGTTACGACTGCTATAAACGCCGAGAAAATCGTACAAAAGACTGAAAACGGGAAAACTAGTGACGATCTCTTAGGTCTTGATATGAATAGCACAGCAAACGCGAGACCAGATGACGACTCTTTTGGTCTATTCGTTAGTTCTCTTCCCTCTAAAGAAACTAATTGTGAGATTAAAGCAGAATCTAAGGCTACATCAAACGAAGAATCGGATTTCTTTAACCAAAAAGCGCCCACCGATGACAAGAAGGTTATGTCTAAAGAATCCATTTTATCACTTTATGGAAGCGCTCCCCCGCCTTCTTTGCCGCCAACTCAACAGCCAATTGGTTCGCAGAGCACACAATTCAATGGTTTAAACTCATCGCTATTTATGGGACAATTTGGGCCTAACTCTCAACCCATGGCATCGCAAACACCGAACCCAATGTTTGTGTCACAAAACACTGGCATCGATCCATTGCAGGCACCGATGGGTCAGACATCGAATTTAATGAGTCAAGTGAGTCATCTCTCGCTATTGTCTTTGTTCTATAAACTTGTTTCTTCACTACAGTCTAACTTTCCCTTAACGACAAACCCTTTTCTCGCTAACACTTCAAAGGGCTCTAACTTTGGTCAGCAAACTGTCCAACAGGTGTGTTATCTTCCTATCCGATGCCATGTGTTTGAAATAAGGATTTAATAGTAATTGAATATTTGTATTATAGTTACCACAACATATGGCAACTCTTCAATTGAATCCAATGCCTGCGTCCAATCCTAACACAAATCCGATCCCAAACAACAATTGGTTTCAAATGGGGCCGCAGAGCACTGGTCTGCCAGTGCCTCAACCCGGAGGCATCAATCCATTCATGACAGGCGCTCCGATTCCTGCCGGCGTTCCCTTTGGTAATAACTTTGGAAGCGCTGGTTTAAACTCAGGCTCAATGTTTCCTCAAACAGATAACAGCGGCTCTCAATGGGCTTTCAATGGCAACCAAACTCTTAACCAATCTTCAGGAGTGACCGCTTCTACCAATTTGTGGCAATAACTCGACATTTGTTTGCAATTCATTGTTAATGGATATTATCTTTTAGTTTATTATAAAGCGCCCGAAATATTGAATTAATATAATATTTATTTTAAATTAATGTTTAAATTTTGAGGACTAATTTTGAATGAAATAGTCATAAAAAGCCATAACTCAATGTATTGTACGCGAAATGTACTGCAAATCGCTTTTATACAATGAAAAGTGTTTTTGTTTTGTTGATAATTGTTCACCAATTGTGTCGACACTTGCAAAACATATTTAATTTATATTTTCGGTTATATTCTAAATATTTCTTCTCTTATCAGACATTCCGTGAAAATGTAACAAATATTAACATTTTATTGGAGACCAATTGAATCATTGATTATTTTGTTTCAATTATAAATGATAGTTAAAATGTATTTAATAAATGATAAAATGCTTATTTATTCTAAATAATTACAAATTTAATGGAAATACTTTAGTAAAAAACAGTTTGTTTTCTGTTTTGTTTAATAAAATAATTATTTATTTTTAAATTAAATGAATTAAAATTATTTACGCTTTTTGGCGCTCGAAGGCGTCGAATGGGCCGAAGATCTCAATTCTGTGGTCTGTTTTGAGATGTGTTTCTTCGAGCGAACAATTGTTTTGTCTTCGCTTTCGTCGCTTTTCTCTGACTGTTTGGTCGACTCTTCCTTTCGGTCAGACTTTGAATTCTTCTCGTTTTCGGACTTGACTTTTGAATTGCTTTTATTCAAGTCATGAGTTTTGCCTTTTGTGGCCGTTTTGGGTGTACTCGTACTCACACTCGTCTCCATCTCTTCCTTGGGTTCGCTCTCTTTCTCAGATGTCTTGCAATTGTTTGCACTCTTTTTGGCAAATAATTCACTGAATTCTGGATTGTCTTCAATATTGAAAGGAGTGCTGACGTTAGGGAATGGCATGTCTTCGTTGTCGTGCTATTCACACAATCGTATAATACATTCAATTAAACACAACAATAGGCGCACAGAGGAAGGCATACCAGAGTCTCCATGTCGTACATCGTCTCCAAGCGGTTCCATATGATCTTCGAAGTGATCTCTTTGTCCGTCAGTTTCACGAATTCATCCAAAATGCAAATCATGTGAAAGTTCTTCGCCACACCTTTAAAGCATACAATCAGTGGTTAATTATATCGTTATTTAACGCCAAATAGTCTTTCATTTTGTATTCAATTAAAAAGTAATAATCAATTGTTAGACAAGAGTTGGAAACGAGGGGTAAATGACATGAATAATGGGTTGGATTGAGAGGTCGTCTGCTTTCATGGATTGCATTCAATTCATGCGAAACTGAGGCCAACATTACCGACGGGTTTGTGTCCTCTCATGGCGTAAAACAATTTGATCTCATTTTCTGGCGTCCACTCGACTTGAGTGCCATTTGTGTCCGATTTAGACATTGTTTTGATTCACAATCACTTCAATCGCTAATTGTATTGACAAACGAAACACAAAAACACTTTTTTGTCACTAATTTTTGTCCCTATTTTCAAATTCTCTGCTATTGTTTGCATTAGTTTTGTCCACAAATAACGTGTGCTTTGAATCGAACCCTCGTTTGAATGCAAAGCGTTTTGTTTGACTCAAAGCTGAGTTCAAATTGAATGACGTTTTTAATGCGTTTCGTAGAAAACATGCGATTTTTATTCAGTGATGAAAATCTGCACACAATTTGAAAGTTTGCTTTCAATCGCCGTTTGATTGCAATTATTGCCGATAATTGTCTTCATTTACCACTCATTCAGTCTCTTAGTTATAGTCGTAATACTTGTCCATCATTTGAGTCCTGTCTCACCATTGAATCCAAAGCCGAAGACATTACTGTCAAAGACATCGCAATCGGTGTTTGATTTGCAAACTATTGTCCCAAAGGTTTTGTCTACTATTTAGTGGACATTAATTGCAATCAATGGACGATTGGGGCGACGATTGGCAGCCGTCGACGACGACGACCAGCACTCGCACTGACTCTGCGACCAATGATTGGGACACCGGATGGCCCGACAGCTCAGCCAATAGTGCCGTCAAAGAGACTTCAGATGAAAGTGATTTGAGACCAAAAGGTATTCATTCGGCAAACCATACAAAACGTAAATTTGACGTCTCTTTTGATGACCGAAACGATTGGTCAGCGTTTGGTCGCGGAGTCGGAAGAGCTCAGAGAGCGGCCACTTGGAGGCAACAGAATGGCGGCACTCAATGGGCCGATCAGTCGAGCCATAGCCGCGAAGAGCAATCTGTTTCAAACAACAGGTCTTACAGCGATTCCGGCCATAACTCGTCCAAAAGGACGGTTCAGATCGAGTCGTCGTTTGTGGGGAAAGTGATCGGAAAGGGAGGACAGACTATAAGAGATTTGCAAACCAAAAGCGGCGCTCGGATTCATATCAATCGCGAATCCAGTGGTTATGACACAGACATAGAATTGGGCGGAAGTACTGAGCAAATGGATTGCGCAGAAAAGTTGATCAAAGACTTGACTCAAAGCTCTGATTATTCTTCTTCTCGAAGAAGTTTTAATAACTACTCAAATGATGAGCACAAGAAGGAGAGCGCCGACACAGAAATGATTGATTGGGGCGCCGCTATAGCCGAGAGCGAAGCGGCCACTAAACAGAAATGGGAAGCACTTCCGCCGATCAGCAAACAGTTCTACTTCGAGAACTCCGACGTCAGAGCAATGAGTGCCGATTTTGTGGACAAATTTAGGGCCGAAAGTAATAACATAATTGTCAGTCATTTCAATGAAGGCGACACTCGAGTCATACCAAATCCTGTCCAGCATTTCAATCAAGCCTTTGAACACTTCCGTAAGTTATAAGTTAGTGTATAAATGACTCGATTTTAATTGTATTTGAATTTTAGCCGAAATTTTGGGTGAAATCAAACGACAAGGCTTTGAGAAGCCGTCGCCGATTCAGTGCCAGTCGTGGCCAATATTGTTGAGTGGATTTGATTTGATTGGTATCGCACAGACGGGTACCGGCAAAACATTGGCCTATATTTTGCCGGCAATGATACACATCGATAGTCAGCCGATGTATAGATTTATTGATACTTTTATTGAACACAATTTAATGATTTGACTCATAGGAAGCGAGAGGAGCGTCCGGGCCCTACAGCCCTTATTATGGCTCCGACCAGAGAATTGGCGCAACAAATCGAAAAGGAGTGTCAAAAATATCGGTACAGAGATATTAAATGTGTTTGTATTTACGGCGGCGGAGACCGAGCGACTCAAATCAATAGTGTGGGCAAAGGGGTTGAGATTGTGATCGCAACTCCCGGTCGCCTCAACGATCTCTGTATGAATAAACACATAGACCTCTCATCCGTCAGTTATTTGGTATACAATTGAGTTGTTTTTGTAGACATATGAATGAAAAACGATTTATAATTGTGTTAAATCTAGGTTTTAGACGAAGCCGACCGTATGCTTGATATGGGTTTTGAGCCGCAAATCAAGAAAATACTGCTTGACGTGAGGCCTAACCGCCACACTGTAATGATGTCAGCCACTTGGCCTCAAACTGTTCGTCGACTGGCCGTCACTTATATGGAAAACCCGATGCAGGTCTACGTCGGGACATTGAATTTGGCGGCCGTTCACAGCGTCTCTCAACAGATCATTATCACAACGGCTGAAGAGAAACGCGATATTATGTATGACTTCATCGATAAGATGAGAAAACATAATAGCGATGAGCGAAACGAACAAAAGCAAAAAGTGATCATATTTTGCGGCAAAAAAGCACTGTTAGTCTAACATAAGACACGATTTGAGTTATTTTTTACGTAAATATTTTGCTTAACACAATCAGAACTGACGATTTGGCCTCTGATTGTGTGCTCAAAGGGATTGATTGCCAGTCAATACACGGCGATAGAGATCAACACGACAGAGAACAGGCGTTGGAAGACATCAAGAGTGGAGCCGTCGATATATTGTTCGCCACAGACGTGGCCTCTCGAGGACTCGACATCGAAGACATTACGTATGTCTCTACCATTTCATTGAATTGTAATTCATTTGTCATTATTTTTCAGTCATATCTTTAACTTTGATTTTCCGCGTAATGTCGAGGAATACGTTCATAGAGTGGGCAGAACTGGAAGAGCCGGGTATAGTTGTAGAGCCAATTGAGGTGTGTGTCAACAATGTATTGATTCTCTTTGATGTGAATGACAGGAGAACGGGTGCGTCCATAACTTTGGTCACTCGGCAGGACTGGAAACACACGCCCGAACTGATTGCCATTCTGGAAGAGGCCACTCAGGAGGTGCCCAATGACTTGGCAGAGATGGCCCGACGATACTCCGCTTGGAAGGAAAAACATGACGCCGAAGAGGCCGCGTGTGGCGGTAGACGTGGCGGCGGCAGAGGTGGGGCCAGTGGTGACGGGTGTTTCAAATGCGGCGAAAGCGGACACTTTTCCCGCGAGTGCCCCAACTCTGATGGCGGACGCGGAGGTCGAGGCGGCGGTCGTGGCCGGCGCTGGTAGTGGTAATGATTCAATTGACTTCGTTTTATATCAATTTCTAATCTCCTTTTAAAGCAAATCGTTGTTAATTTAAAGCTTTAATCACTTTTATATAATTCACTGAACAAATCATTCGATATATAATTATTGATACATTTTATAGATGTTTATAAAACAATGAGAATATTTGTATATTTTGTACATTGTTTTAATTGAAAACATTTAATGTTATTTTGATCTCATTTTTTGTTCTATTTTTTTTGTATTTTTGTTTGATTTAAAAATTTACGATTAAAAATATTTTGGAAATTTAAATAATTGACAATTTATTTTGAATGACAGTATTTGCGCTCTAAATCATATCAAATATTGATCACAGTTTCAATGTTAAAAAGTTTAAAGTATTTACATTACAAGTAATACATTATAATTACTTTAAAAAATAATACATTCATAAAAATTAAGTAAAATTGAGTTAAAAGTAAAACAAATAATAAAATACTTTTCTATAATAAATGCAATTCTTATAAACAATTATAGGCTTTGATAGCAATAAACCAAAAAGTCGTGTCTTTTGGTGTAATTTTTGGCAAAATCTTTGCCATTAATGGTTGGATCAGAGAAAGCGATGTCCGAGCGTTGGATAATCTTTCCTAACGTAAAGTTGGCCCGAAGTGTGTCCAGAAGTCTTGAGGCAATCTTCATGCGCCTGAAGCTGGGATGCGTCCAAATGCGAGCGATTCCACACTCGGCCACCACTTCATCGGTCGACGCCATAAACGGCTCTTCACTTATCAAATGGTTGGCGAAACGAATCCGTTCTGCGGCCACAAAACCGGCGATTCGTTTGCTTTTTGTGGCGAATATTAGAAAAACGGACGAAGACTTGAGGCACGACTCGAGCGCCACATTAATCCCTAACTCAATGTCCGCCACTTTGAAGAGTTCGTCCACTTTTTTGAGCATAATTTTCTTGTGATGCGGAAGAATGCGGACAACTCTTCCGTCTTCGTAGACGGAGACCACGTCTTCGTATTTCCAACCATTAAATCGTATGCTTTTGACAAAAACGTCGTGATATTCCGCGTGAGTCTTCTCGTCCACCACTTCGCCCGTTGTGTACAACATATCGCATGTCTTACAGCGCTTTGAGTCGAAGTCCTTCTGTCCGAAGTCGAGGGCCAACTGATCCGAGGCGTCGAATAACGAGAGCTTTCGTCGGGAAGTCTTGCGTTTGTCTTCTGATCCGCATTTCAGGCCTTTTCGGACGACTTTCCTCTTCTTGACACTCGTTTCGGCGTTTCTCTCAAAAACGGGGAAATAATTGCGGATATCATTGGTCTGTGTCTTCAGCGGACTCTCAAACAAAGCCATCGATTCTTGTGATAGTCTTCGGCTATTATTGCGGACCAAATGTGACACCAATTGATGCAATCGTTTTGACAGACAATCACTTTTGCCCACAAAAGGCGCCAAACATTCAAATCCTTACATCAATTACGACAACAACTCTTTGGCACTCTTTTAGTGATGAAATCATTGGATCACTCAATGAATCAACTCTTCATTCAATCGTTGATTTATTTCAATAATTAAATCATTTATTAATTAATCAAAAAGTTGTCCAAAGAGTGCATCAAATCTCCAAATGGTTTACTATTTCACAACCGATGGTTAGTATGAAATGAAGTATTGATTTAATTCAAGCATTAATTGAATTGTTTTTGTTATCATGTGTTTCAGTGGTGTCACCGCCGATGACGCTATACATGGGCTTTGATAAACACGAGAGTAAGACATCTGTTTAGTGAACATATTTATAGTCCACAAATGTCTGATGTATTGAATGATTTTTACCGTATTTTAGATGAGGAGCTGATCCGTTGGGGATGGCCTGAAGACGTATGGTTTCACGTGGACAACGAGTCGTCAGCGCACGTGTATCTTCGGCTCAGAGTCGGCCAAACGCTGGACGACATCCCGAGTGTAGTGATCGATGATTGCGCGCAATTGGTTAAGCAGAACAGTATTAAAGGATCCAAAATGAATAACATCGATGTCGTGTACACCTTGTGGTCAAATCTGCGCAAAACAGCCGCTATGGAAGTCGGACAGGTATGGCATACATGTGTGACACTCAGTCGTGGCATTGATTATTGTCTGATCCAAAGGTTGGATTCCACGACCAGAAGGCCGTCAGAACTGTTAAAGTGGAGAAGAAAATCAACGAAATTGTTAAAAGACTCGACAAAACAATGGTTTGAATCGATATTTTGTTGAATGC